TTAAACGGGATAAGATAAAAAACGAAATGAATCAAATGCTTGTTTGCAGGTGCGTTGCTTCTGTGTTAAATACCAAGAATTATAAATAAAATAGCCTTTATATGTATTGTTCAGTACAATCCAGGATCGTGCATTGTCTAAACTTTGATCCTATTAATTATTATACATAAAAGTTTGGCTTTAAACAAATTTGAGCCATGTATATCTGGTCTTCAGCGGCTAATCTGTTATGTAGGTGTTCGTTTCCATTTGTGCAATATAAATTTCTGATTTGATATAGATAATACTTGCACAAATTCAAAAAAAGCCAAAGTGAAATTTTTTACAATTCAACCTGATATAAAGTGCTTCTGTGTTAAATACCAAGAATTATAAATAAAATAGTTTTTGTATGTATTGTACAGTACAGTCCAAGATCATGCTTTGTCTGAATTTTGATCCTTTTAACCATTGTCTATAAAAGTTTATTTTTAATTAAATTTAAACCATGTATATCCGGTTCTCAGCGGCTAATCTATTATGTAGGTTTTCATTTCCATTTGTTCAACAAAAATTTTTGATTTGATATAGCTAAAGTTACACAAATTCAAAAAATTTCCAATTTGATATCCTTTACAATTCAACCTGATGTAAAATTGCGGGCTTTGGCTATTTGCTGAGAAAAAAATGAGCTTAGGCGAGGCTGTGTCTGATACGTGTGAGTAAATATGTTTTGATTTTTGTTTTTAGATGTGTATATATCTTCAGTAATACAACAATAGTTAGGAGAGTAGTTACAACTCAACCTAGCTGTGGCTCCAGACTCGTTAGGAAAATCTCGAAAATCTACTATGTAGAGTATCTGTACTATAATCAAACTGGATAATACATCAGTTTTTTAACAAACTAAAAATTCTATTACTTATTTGTATTGTGAGCAACTTCTAATGGAATTTCCACAAAACCGATAAATTTATGAAAAAAACTTTTCAGTTTTTACATATACATGATTTTTATATTTAGATAGATCTACTGAGATGCTTATAAAAATTAAATGTATTTATAGATCTACTGAGATGCTTATAAAAATTGAATGTATTTTTAGATAATAACTTGTAGAACCGAAAAAAATGATTGCTCAATTTCTAAACCGTTAAAATTGCAATCATTTAGTATACATTAATTGCTTAATATTTTTTTCTCTTGTGTGATTTTTCTGTTAATCTGTTAATATGAAATTTGAATACAAAAAGCATTTATTAATTGATAAAAATTTTGGTGAACTGACAAAATTTCTAAACTAATGCCTACTCATAAAAATGGATTCTGAAGTTTGAACTCAAATATTTGTTAGTAATTTGTTTAAAAACAATTTTCTAGTCAAAGACTTTTCTAGTTTTTTCACAGGCGTGCTGGGTGATTTGTTTTCTCCTTTGCGGCAATCTTGATTTTGGTGTAGGCGACCAGAAAGAATTTGGGAGTGAAAAGATGAATTGATTCTTTAGATATAATTTTAGGCTCGTACATTTTTGCGTATTCTTTACACTAAAACACAATAAAATTGGGAAAAAAATGAGACTTGCACATAATTTGATTTAAAGTTACACTGAAATTGGTTTAAACTCTACTCATTTTTGAAAAAAAAACACTCACTTTTTGACAATCTGCGTAGCATGAATTGCACAAAGATTCTGATGGGTAATAGTTTTTTCCGTAAATTTTTGCAGTCCCTTGATACTCTGACCAGTAACCTGAATCATTCGAGTTCTCATTTGAAAAAGTTTCTGTATAACTTTGGGTATCATTAGCCATACAACCGTCAACGTTAGGATTTCTGCAGCTCAATTTGAGAGTTACTTTTCAAAAGATTACAAAATTTTCCAATGATTTTTCAGCTGATACGAAAATAGCCAGAAAGAATTCTAGAATGATTTAGAAATTTTTTTGACGATAACAAAAAATATCGTTGACCAAAAGAGAAATTCAAAACTTTCGTTGACCAAAAGAGACATGCACAGCAACTATATGAAAAATTTTCAAGTTGTTTAAATTATAATCAGTTTTTCAAGTAATTGGTGAATTTTGTAGGCTAAGAAAACGATTAGCTCGAATACATTCTATTTTCTTGTTATGTGCAATACCACCACATACATAACAGTGTAATTTGCCCTGACAGTTTTCAAATGAAAAAAAATGAATACATGTTGGCTAAGTATTATCTTTGCCCAAATTGAACCAAACTTTTTTTTTGGGTACATGCATTTGTATCAGTTACATGCAAATACAAATTTGCGTTACAAACTCTGCAAGACTATTTCCTGCTGAAAGTAAATGGTAGTAAATACCGAG